AAAATTGACCAATGTATAACACATCTGCGTTTTTGTAGGAAAGTAATATTAGTGTGGAACTTTAAGTGGAACCATTCAATGCGATGTGAAATCAAGGAACATAATTAACAACTTTTTTAAAGAAGTTTAGAATTATATCTGGAAGTTAGATTATCATGATATATGGTGGTAACAAGGCGAAGATTAGATGATATAGTTGAACCAAATAAACCAACCTAGTTTAGATAATTCTACCGTTCTGTATACAGCGTTTGTCACATTAAAAACTGGGAAAAAACGTTACTGGGGAAAAGGCGTCTCTGGCTTCGTTATGAACGAATTCTTCATAAATTTAGCTCGAAAGTGTTCTAGCCAACGTACTATCATATCCCATGGTAATTTTCGATGCACTTTGATAAACGCAGAAGGAATTAGTAAAAAATCCACATTAGAAATCGATTGCAGTAAACGCAGTTCTAGTTTTTCTTTTCTTTTTTTCCACTTCTTTGGTAACATAACTTTAAACTTTGAAACATGCTCCGTAATATAATTTGGGACAGAAATCATTCCTGCTCTCGGCAAACTTGTTATTTGCCTTATTTCGCCACAAAAACCCCTTTTGACGGAATTCTTCCTCGCCTTTACTAATGCGGAGTTTGCAACTCATGGACTTGTAGGTCTTCAGTGAAGGCTAGGGCTTGAGATAAACGGCAGATTGTCCTGGTTGCACCCAATTTGATCGCTGTCAGCATAGAATAGAAACCTTTTCACTTCCAATGCGGCTATTCTTTCATGGAAGTCCGGAATAAAGTGGTGGTAATGTCTTCGAGCATGTAAATAAGATTTACATGATGTGCTCCACTGTTAAAGCTCTGAATCTCGGTTCAGAGAATCTCTCGCCGAGGCTGACGGGAGTAAAGTGTAGAGGTTGTCTCCGCTTTTAATCCTCACCATTTCTTGTCAAATATTTTATCAGATAGAAAGAAGGATAACTATGTCAGATGAATAGGTCGGAAAGTTATATTCAGATATAGAGACAAATCTACACCCTACTCCAGTTTTTCTGCCGCTAGAAATTTCCCTAATAAAACCGAGAAACAAAGTCAGCGGACATCGGACTTTACGCAAATACTCATTCATCTGAAGACGCTGTTCTCCTTCCCTAATACGAGCTGGGCATTGGAGAATGTTTTTGGTTTGTGCTGAAATGGCGGTTCAATTTGGTACGTACAATTGGGATTATGTACCATTTGTCCTGAGCTTTGGGCTTCATTGGGCTGCAAGGAGATTTAGAAGTTATATTTAGATATTTAGATGGCCTGTCTTCACTTGTCTTGCAGGCTACAGCGCTGTTTCCATCCGTTTCTGTCTCTCGCTAACGTCATCCACGATGTTGGTATTGCCTCAAGGACGTTTTGCTTCGCGAGGAATCCATTCCAGAGTTCTTAGTGTCCGTCTGTTGTCTTTCCTTCTCATTATATGACCAGCTCATCGATGCTTTGCCTTAGAGACGTATTTCGCTGGATCGCGAAGACGAGACATTGATCTCATATCTGAAC